ATTTCAACTGATATCATACACATTAATTATACTCATGTATGTAGATAGAATAAGAAATGTGCAGAATTTGACAGTTTAATGGTGGAAGTATACACACATATTGATAGATGTTTTGTAATGCAATGTTGAGGAACCTGTGACCCAAGTTTTTCATTCATTGCATAACTACACCGTAGTTGTGTATATGATATGTCAATAAACCTTAGAAAATCTTGAAATCTTGAAAGGGATGTGCAAAATAGCAATTATATACAGTCTTTAATTAACTATTAGTAGAGAATAACGAGTAATTAATATACTTTATACTCTACTTTTCGGACGTGTAATTAGCTAAAGCTTTGTTGTTTATTGATATCAGACAAAGATACTACAGATTATTCAATTATTAATTAAATATTTTGTTGTGTTATTGCATTCATTTGTATAGTACTGTATCATGTCTGTATCATCTTTTGTTTCATTTGTAGTTTCTTTGGTTTTACACGCTCGAAAAAAATAAATAAACTAAACTAAACTAATGTTTCATATTTTCCAACAGGAACATCAAAACAAATATTCTATATGTTTTCTATCTGAAGTTAGAAATGCTTCCATAGGCTGTAGGAAGTGCAAGGCAATAACTTTATATTTTTATTTTCAACCCTTATAAAATAATTGTTCTTTATTCTCAAGATATTCCAATAGCAGGAGCCCTGGTTGCCTCATGTGGTCGGATTGTGTTCAAAGCTATTCATTCATGTTTTATCATGTATATTATGATTACATGATACAGATACATGGATTAGTCCCATCGGGCCAACGTTAATTTCTGAATGTACCAGTGACCATTTCGGATGTAAAGGAGTGATTTCTACATTCGCCAATCAACAGATTTCACAAGAAACATCTCTGATTTGTGTTTTGGTTCGTTTATATGAGCAGGAGGAGTGTGTCCTTCCTTCAGTGAAACTGAAGGCCAAACACGTGATCGTGATCCAGCAGCTGGAGCATACCATCGAGGCCCTCAGGACCAAGATCGCTGAGCTGGAGCAGCTGCCCCCCCTGGACACTGTGAAACCCCCTCCCTCCACCACCGACCGGGAGGTGGGCGGAGAGGAGGGGCTGCTGAGGGCGATGTGTGACGCTCACCTGCAGACTGAAACCATTGTAGCTGCGGGGGGGCTGGAGGCCAAGTCGGTGCAGACCTCCCCCATGGAGGACAGCTTTAAGTTCAAAGTGCCTTGCAGCGAGCCGGGTGGAGCGGACCCTCCCCCGCAGCCTCCACCCAGGCAGGAAGGCTTTCAGTGTTCCTGTCAGCTGCAGCCCCCCCCTTCACCTCCACTACCAGGAGGAGCAGTACCTCCACCTCCACCAGGACAGATTATGGCACCGCCTCCTCCACCACCTCCCCCTCCACCATTACCAGGAGGCTTAATGCCACCTCTCCTCTCCTCCTCCTCCTCCTCCTCCTCCTCCTCCTCCTCCTCCTCCTCCTCCTCCACCTCCATTACCTTTTGGTTCAGCATGTCCTCCACCTCCACTTCCTGGTGGTATTGCTCCACCCCCACCCCCTCCTCCTCTCCCTGGTGGCATGGCTCTACCTCCTCCTCCATTACCAGGAATGGGAGCCCCACCTCCTCCACCTCCACCTCCAGGGTGCGGGCCTCCTCCCCCCCCTCCTCCACCGGGAGGCATGTGCGCTCCACCCCCTCCCCCCGGGGCTCTGGGCTCGCTGCCTCCTCCTCTGCCCATGGGGCTGTATGCTCTGGGCCTGGCGCAGGAGAAGCCCCCAAGGAAGGCTCTGGTGGAGCCCCCCAGACCCATGAAGCCCCTCTACTGGACCAGGATCCAGCTCACCACCAAAAAGTAAGGGTGGTTTAGAAGATGATGCTGCAGATTGTTTAGTTTACTGACCATTCAAGCCCAAATCTATTTAACCCTTAAAAGGTTTCTGTACCCTGTGGGATACAGTCAAAATATAGAATGGGAGTACTGAAAGTGTAATACAGTTGAAATATGAGTGTAATGTGAGACTCATAATAGTGTTATAGATGAAATAATAATTGAACATGGGTAAAATATGGGTGTCATCGCAGTGTAACATGGGTGTAATAGAAGTGTGTTTGTGTGTAATATGGGTATAATTATAGAGTGATGTTGGTATAGTAAGTAAGGGATAATGTGCAGCGAGGCAGTCATTATGGGTAAAAGAACACCCGGCTGATCAGGAGCCCAACGCGAAGCGGAGGGATCTTATTCAAAAACATATATTTTAAGTGAAATTATTAATTAGAGTTCAGTACAGTCTTTAGCCACTTAAAAGTTAACGTTGTAATACATTCCATGTACAAAGCTAATTTCAAGCTACACTATAAAACTGCCTACTCTATAGTAGGCAGTTTTATACTGTAGCTTGAAATTAGCTTTGAGGGACCATACATTTGCACTGCAAAGTATGTATGTATGTTTTTATATATGTATGTGCTTTCCTAAATTATAAACATCTTTTGATACATCATGATTCTTATTATCTTAGTAAACCTACACATTTAATAATTTCAATCGATGCAAAACTGCAACACCTTTTTAAGGCCAGTTAAACTATGTGTTAATATTTACTGTTAAAAAAATGACAATATGTAAGTGGTCTTCTGTGTTTCTCAGGGAGGTTTCTTCTTCGTTGGTGTGGGACACAATCGATGAGCCTGAAATGGACTTTGAGGAGTTTGTAGATTTGTTCTCCAAAACAGCCGTGAAGGAGAAGAAGCAGCCGCTCTCTGACACCATCACCAAGTCCAAGGCCAAACAGGTGTGTGTGCTCACCTGGGTTACACACTGGGCATGTAGTTCAGATTTGTATTGTATTTCTTAAAATGAAAAAGTGATATATGGCTTATTATCTATTTTATTAATGTCACATTGAATCTTACTTTTATTCTGTAAAAAAAAGTTTGATGATATTTGAAAGATGTTTATAATTTAGGAAAGCACATACAAAAACATACATACATACATACTTTGCGGTGCAAATGTATGGTCCCTCCCACTAAGCCTACCTTTCAGTCTTTTGTTGTCATTAATTGTGAATATTATTCATATTTTTCAGGTTATGAAGCTCCTGAACAATAAGCGTTCCCAGGCAGTAGGGATCCTCATGTCCTCCCTGCATCTTGATATGAAAGATATCCAGCATGGTGAGTTCATAACACTTGAGAACGCTTGATATCAATAATTCTAATTCCACATGGAATATTATAAAACAGGTGTATGCCACACTGAGGAAAGGATCGCCTAGTCATTTAGCCACAAACTCCGCTGTCAGAGACTAGTTTACCTAATTGAGAGAATTTATGTTCTCAAGGAAAACCTCGCTAAAATATTCCTACCATATCTGTATAAATATTTTTGGGGAAAATATTCATTTAGGTTTGGGTATGAAGTATACTCCAAAACACATGTTTATATGTGTTGCTCTGTGCTTGGAGCCAGTTTATCATTTTGAGCCTTTGCTGGTATAAAGTATTATATTATTGTTGTGTGTCTTTCTTCCTGTCCTAAAGCCATCCTGAACTTGGACAACACCGTAGTTGACCTGGAGACCCTGCAGGCGTTGTATGAAAATGTGAGTCACACACTTTATCTCACTTGTCTGTAATAGAATCTGAATCACTCCGGGGTCCAGTTGTGACTCCTGGTCTGCGCTGGGAAATCTGAGCATTGGAGTCCTGGTTATACATTGTTCAGAGGTTCTTTATGCTAATACAGTCCTTTAGCACTTATGTAATCAAACCTGTAGGGCATAAATCAGTCAAATGGGAGGGACTTTGAATTGTCAGACTCTGAAGCTCATCTGTTCTGTTGGGTGGTATGACATGGTGTCTTGTGTCTCTCCCTCAGAGGGCACAACAGGATGAGCTGGACAAGATAGAAAAGCACATCAAGTCGTCAAAAGACAAGGAGAACGCCAAACCCCTGGACAAACCTGAGCAGTGAGTTTTTCTACTACTTCTACAGAATGATCAGATGTAGTGCCAGGCTGTGTATCATTCTGTAAACAGTATCAAACAACAGGAGGGAATAAAGAGTAGAGAGATGGTGAAGAAGACATGAGTGTGATCGGTGTTTCCTCGTGTGTTGCAGGTTCCTCCACCAGCTCTCTCTGATCCCAAACTTTTCCTCCAGAGTCTTCTGCATCATCTTCCAGTCTAGCTTCCACGAGTGTATGTCGTCCATAACGAAGAAACTGGACACTCTGCAGAGAGTATGCCTGGTGAGTCAATCTCTCCAAAGTAATGAAATATAGTATCTCAATGTCTGCATAAAGCCTGGGAGCAACTGGAACTACACACTTGTTTTCAGCCAATAAATGGCCATTATCAGTTGTCATTGGGAGAATCAACTCCTAACTAGCTTGGTAGGCCGTTATCATATGTATGTGACTGAGTTCATGTCAGAAACAGAATTATTTTAACTGTGATTTTAATTTCCTAAACGTTACCTGGATCAGTCTGACATTTTGAAATAAACCTACTAACGCCTCCCTGATTAACATGTTGTTTTAATTAAATCAAATTAAATGTATTCTTGTTTTCAGTGTTCAGACAAAAGACATTTGGTTTAAAGAAAATTGACCTGCTGTAACTATTTATAAACAATCACAAAGTTAATCCATTAGCCAGAGGTGAGAGAAGTACTCAGATCTTGTACTTAAGTAAAAGTAGAAGTACCAGAGTGTAGGCATACTCGGTTACAGTAAATGTCCTGCATTGAAAATGTTACTCAAGTAAAAGTAGAAAAGTATTATCATCAAAATATAGTGAAAGTAGCGACAGTAAAAGTAATCATTGTGCAGATTGGTCCATTTCAGAATAATATATATGATATGTTTTATAATGATTGATCATTAAAGTGTTCTCAAAGCTGGTAAAGGTGCAGCTAGTTTGAATGACTTTGTATACTGCAGGGTAGCTTGTGAATTTACTCCAGGTGGAACTAAAATCTGATTTAACACTAGATTATATCTCACATCATTCATCCACATCTGTAAAGTAACCAAAGGTATTAAATTAGGGCTGTCAAGTTAACACTGACAGTGTTGCCAACTTGGCGACTTTCTCGTTAAATTTGGCAGCTTTCCAAACCCTCCGGCTACTTATTTTTGTCAAAAGCGACTAACGACTAATCTAGCGACTTGTAATGGTGTTATTCGGGACTTTTCTGATGTTTGGAGACTCAAGTATTGTTCAGCAGTTAACGAGCCGTGGGTGCTGCCATGAGCCCCTCTGCCCTCCCATAGTACTCACAGGCGCAAGTTGCCTCCCGCAGCAGCTCATCTGCAGTCAGGGCAGAGAGGAGACAGCCACACCCTCCCGCGTCGAGACTGTAAATGAATTGCGCATGCGCCAAGCCGTCCTGGTTTTGAGCGGGATTTAAATGTAAAATGTAAATGTTTCTTCACTGTCACACTATAATAAATAACTGCCTTTGCTTTGCTGACAGCCCCGCTCCTGCCGTCCGCTTGCGGCAGACCACACTTCCATGCTCACCGGCAGGCCCCGACTGGCCATCGGGAGGGTGTGTGTATGTGTGGCGCAAGCGAGCGAGAGAGAACGGGCACACCTTACGTGTATTGTTGTTGTTAGCATCTGGTGCTAGCTAGCTGCGCTAACGGATATAAGGAGCTGTTTCAATGAAAACAGAGCAGCGGTATTTCGCCGACAACTGCGCCGACCACTTGACTTTATACAGGTAGCCAGACAGTTGGACATTGTACGAAAAGTCAGCACACTCAGCACGGATAGTGCGCACACACACACACACACACACACACACACACACACACACACACACACACACACACACACACACACACACACACACACACACGCATGCACACACACACGCACAGTATGAGAGAGGTTCCAGGTTGAATTGAGGCGGATATTTTTAATGTTCAGAGGTTGTTGTGTTGAGAATATTCATGAGAATATTTGTCATTGTTCAAATGACAAACAAACATTTGCATAAAGCATATCCACTCATATGACGATAAGAGTATTAAAAACTTGAAAAATATCCCTCTAGGACTAGGTACATTTAGGACGTAGTGTCCGTGACGTCACCCATAGGATTCTGCAGAGTTGCCGAGAAGCCCTTAGTAGGCGGAGTCGGCCACTAACGGCTTGACAGCGACGTCAGAGTCTAATCCCGCCTGCTCCAAATAAGGGCAAAGAGGCGGGACCTGCTGCCTCCGAACTTGAAGTAAACAGAGCTAGCTCAGGCTAAGAAGCTAAGCTAACATGAAATACGTGCGTACCAAGTTACTGTTAACAGTGTAGTTCCCCTATATAAACGTTACATTCATAATCAAATGAGACAATCTGCAAGAGAATTAGCTATGTTTTGTTATTCTTAATGCTTGTCATTCACACGTTAAGAAAAGACGGACTCCACCGCCCGGCCCCGGACCTAACGGAGCCGCAGT